GAAAATCCTGAAAAATGAAAGACAGTTGAAAAGTTTCATCCATTGTTTTACTCTACAATAAAACATATAACTTTTTCACTTTACTTGAAACTTTATTAATTGCTGTCTTGATCGATGATACAATTTAGACTGTCTTATGATCGAAAACTGTTCTGCTTTAATATCTAATTTGATGTAGAATAATTCTAATCAATAAGTGCTTAAGAGTACATTTAAATCATAACATTCAAACGTGCTTTTTGGTGTATATGCTTTCATTTATCATTGAATAGACTTAGACTCACAACATTTTCTTTTGCTTACTTAGCTAAACGTGAGAATTGCTCAAAATATGAATTAGTGCATACGTGTGCATTTGACATTAATATCAATATTCTTCAAATCAGAACGTGCAATTTAATTGTGCTAATACTTGATGTATGTTCATCTATGGACATCCATTGTTCCAAATCCAAGTGATAACTTTGTTTTATTTCCACAGTTCCTTGTCGTGAATGTGCATGGAGTGAACGGTAAGATTAAAGTTCTATTTCTTTATTAAGTTCCATTTTTGGTTTGGTATAAGCGTTGGATCGATGTGTGATCTACGTCAACTCTGATCTATGATCTTTGTTCAACATGTTTCATTATTATGCGAAATGCAAGCACATTCTCTGAATAGCGAAACATTCATTTCCCCATTTCTTCGATAAGAGTGCGTGCACTTCAATGATCTGCTATTATTTTCAATTTTCAGTAAACGAAAGAGACGCAAATGGAGAGACAGCTCTGCATAGAGCTGCTTATGCTGGTAATTTTGGGCATTTACTTTTTAAAAGACTGTTTTTTTTATCTATGAATATTTTGTATGTTCTTTAAGGCCAAATGGAGGAAGCTCAAAAACTTCTCGATGAAGGAGCCGACCCTAAAATTAGAAATAGAATAGGTGTGACAGCTCTTCATATTGCTGCTCGGGAAGGTAACGTTGAATATTCGTTTTTATTGAATAAAAGATTGGTCTGATCTTTTTTCATCGATCTGTGCTATTTTTCAGGTCACAAGGATGTCGCCGAACTTCTTATCAAAGAAGGAGCCAATGTTAATATCCAAAATAATTTCAATGCGACAGCTCTTCATCATGCTGCTGACAATGGTAATGTTGAATTCTGTTTTTTTTTCAAATAAGAAGTCGGTTTTATCTTTTTCGTCAATCTAAACTATTTTCCAGGTCACAAGGATGTCGCCGAACTTCTAATCAGTAAAGGAGCCAATGTTAATATCCAAAAAAGTTTCGGTACGACAGCTCTTCATTATGCTACTGAGAATGGTAATGTTGAATTCTGTTTTTTTAAAATAAGAAGTCGGTTTTATCTTTTTCGTCAATCTAAACTATTTTCCAGGTTACAAGGATGTCGCCGAACTTCTAATCAAAAAAGGAGCCAATGTTAATATCCAAAATAATTTCAATACGACAGCTCTTCATTTTGCTGCTCAGAATGGTAATGTTGAATTCTGTTTTTTATCAAATAGGAAGTCGGTTTTATCTTTTTCGTCAATCCAAATTATTTTCCAGGTCACAAGGATGTCGCCGAACTTCTAATCAAAAAAGGAGCCAATGTTAATATCCAAAATAATTTCAATGCGACAGCTCTTCATCATGCTGCTGAGAATGGTAATGTTGAATTCTGTTTTTTATCAAATAGGAAGTCGGTTTTATCTTTTTCGTCAATCTAAATTATTTTCCAGGTCACAAGGATGTCGCCGAACTTCTAATCAAAAAAGGAGCCAATGTTAATATCCAAAGTAATTTCAATACGACACCTCTTCATTTAGCTGCTGAGAATGGTAATGATGAATGGTTTTTTCCACAAAATGCAGAATTTGTTTGATTTTTTCTTTCTCCTTCATTTTTTAGGTCACAAGAATGTTACTGAACTTCTCATCAGAAATGGAGCTAGAGATGATATTAGAGATGATTTGGGTTGGACACCTATTGAATTAGCTATTCGCGGTGGTAATGCTGACTAAATAAAATATCGCTTTAATATCTTTCATTGATCTTTTTTATTGTTTTCCAGGTCACACTGAAGTCGCTAATTATCTCATTGGTAAAGGAAACAATATTAATATTGCAGAGTTAGTTAATTAGATCCAGTTGGTATAGACAGCAATATTAATATTGCTGCTTGGTTCAACCATCAATTTTTCTGTTATTTGTCTTTTCAATTGCTAACGGTACCACTATACGTAAGATACAAAATTTCTAAAAACACACAGAGAAAACTGAGTTGATTTTTACGTAGCAAAATGTTTTAAAGTGTCAAATTCCAACAAATATTGAGTTTTTCGCAACAAATGTTTTTTTCCATATTGATTCAAGTATTTGTCAAATTAGACACCAGCTCCATTACATCGTGTTTAATGGAAATTGGCGCCTAATTTGAAAATTAGACACGATGTAAGGGAGCCGGTGTCTAATTTGACAAAAACTTGAGTCAATATGGAAAAAACATTTGTTGCGAAAAACTCAACATGTGTTGGAATTTGACACTTTCAAACATTTTGCTACGTAAAAATCAACTCATTTTTCTCTGTGCAGTAACCAAATATATCGAAAATTCTGCGAGATAGGGTCGAAAAATTGAAAAATTCGGCTTTTTTCGCGACATTTTGTCCCTAAGCGTCCTTTTATGACCCCTCAGGGCTTGAGCATGTTACCAGTTTTGTAGACGCTATTATTCTGAACAACTTTGCCAAAGACAGTATTAAGAAATGTTCAACGTTTGGTGAAATAAAGTCCAAAGAATTTTTTTTAAAACCAGAAAGCCTCACAAAACGCCTATCGCAATTAGAAAAAATTGTGACGTGCTAGGGAAAAACCAGAGATGAGGTTTTGCTAGATTTGGCACCTACTTTTACCCTATAATACCCGTTTGCTCAGTCTTCGAGTTGAACTTTTTTTGTTGTACAGTGTTATTTTCAATTTTCAGTAAACCAAAAAGACGCAAATGGAGAGACAGATCTGCATAGAGCTGCTAATGCTGGTAATTTTAGGCATTTACTTTTTAAAAGACTGTTTTTTTTTCAATCCGTTTTATTGATCTATGAATATTTTGTATATTCTTTAAGGCCAAATGAAGGAAGTCCAAAAACTCCTCAATAAAGGAGCCGACCCCAAAATTAGAAATAATATGGGTGTGAAAGCTCTTCATTTTGCTGCTATGAGAGGTAA